GAAAGCATTGATAGTCCTGTTCTACACAAACTGAAATAGTTTTGAAAAGGTTTAACAGTGTTTATTAAACCTAAAATAACACAAAGCCTTAACAAAAGTGCAACTTTTCACAAGTAAAGGAACAAGTAGCTTCTTTTTCTGGAACATGTTACAGTAGTCAGTGCAGGTTTAAATTATACAAATCCAAACATTCGAAACATAAACAATATGTAAACAAATCAAAGAAACACCACTTGTTTTCTTCATTATCAAAATGAAAATCTAAAACTCCAGTCCACACTTGACTTGAGCACTGTACAAGTCAACCTTAAAAAAATATGTATTTAAAATAAATAGCCACTTTAAACAAATTACTAAAATAACTACTACACCATGTAATCAAATCCAAATGTTCAAATATAAATGGCATTGAAAAAGTAAACAAATCAGTGACAAGGAACTAATTGTATATTTCCTTCATCAACAAGTAAGATGCTTCATCCAGCAACCAGCATCATGACTGCATGCATGACCATTTACTTCAGGTTGAAATGCAAAAATGTCAACATATTAACCTTTTCTGGTTTAAGATGTGATCTAAGAGAGGAAAGAATGTGCCCGCTGGCACTGAATATTCTCTCTGATGGAACACTAGTTGCTGGGATACACAAAAGCTTTTTTGCCAGCCTGGCAAGATGAGGCAGCTCTGATGCATGGCCCCTCCACCACACCAGTGGATCATCATCAGCTGGAATGGATGGCAGAGACATGTAGACTTTGACTTCCTCCTTCACTTTATCTTCTGGGGTGGCTGGACCTGAACCCTCTTCAGATCGCTGCTGCCTTGTTGAGGTAATCTTTTTTAGTAACCCAGCAAGGCCTTTCCCTCCTGCTGCTGCTGTAGAGTTACTGCTGGTGCTTTGTGGTTCCTGCTTGACTTGTACAGGGGTCAGCTTCAAGGCCTCCTGAACACAGCGGTCAACTACATCATCCACAGGGGCATCTAAGAAGTTATTCTTGAACCTGGGGTCAATGAAACAAGCCATCTGCATGACATATTTTGCTTTCTCTGGTGTACCGGTTGTTTAGATCTTCTCTCATTGCCTGTTTCATCTGCTTGGTCAGGGCTGGTTCCGCTTCATTTTCCTCCAGGACATCACCAGTGATGTGGTCAAGAACTGGCTTAATGGCTGATAAAGTCACTCGTGTCTCTGAGCAAAGTGCATCTGTAAACTTGCTTAGTGGTTCAGGGAGCTGGCAGACTTGCTCCATGACAATTATGTCAGTGTCCTTGGGCATCAGATGCCAAGCTCCTCTATCTGCAGCCAGTGTAGCACAGACTGCCTGCTGCTGGCTGATAAACCGCTCAAGCATCTTGTATGTCGATCCCCATCGGGTCACAACGTCATGGATGAGAGCCAGCGGTGGCAAGGTGAGGGCAGCTTGCTTTTCTCTCAGTCCTCTCTTTCTCTTCCAGCTCCGTGAGAAGCCTTGGACAAGATGACGACAGGTCCTTACCGCTGTTTCAACTCTCTGTATTTTCAGAGCCTTTGAAATGGCCAGGTTCAAATTGTGACCGAAGCATCCAAGCCACACATCTGGAAACTCTTCAAAGGCTTTGGTCATGTTGGCTGCATTATCTGTGGTTATGGAGACCAGATCTGTCTTGTTTATCTCCCACTCCTCCAACATATTTTCAAAAAACTCTGCAATATTTTGAGCAGAGTGAACTTCTGGAAAAAATGAGTTTCTAAGCAGTGTGATTCCAGTTGCCAGTCTGGGGTGAGATAATGAACTGTAAAGCTGATGTATGGTAGACCACCCCCTCTTTCACTGGTCCAGAAGTCAGTAGTGGCAGCAAAGAATTCACCCTGAGCCAAACTCTTCTTAACGTCAGCTTTGACTGCGTTGTACATTTTTGGGATTTCAGTCTTAGAAAAATAATTGCGTGTAGGCACTTTGTAATGAGGTACGGCAACCTTCATCATCCTCAGAAAGCCAGGTCTCTCGACTATCCGGAAAGGCATCATGTCTTTTGCTATTAAATAGGCGATGGCTGCAGTCAGTTCTTGAGCCTTTTGGGATGCAGGCACATAATCCGTCTGTTTTTGGAATGCTTGCTCAAGTGTCTGTGTTACTGATGATCCAGTAGCAGTACTCCGTTGCCTCGCTGTCTGTCCCACTGCTCCTCTCTGTGAACAAAAATAAAATATATTAAAAATATATCCATGTCATTGTTTTGAATCATTATCATTATTCAACTATTCATATCAATATACATACGATGTGTTTGCCTATACCTTTTTTTTTTTGCTAACTCCAAAGAAAAGGATTGGCAAAAAATGTATTATCTCACAGGGCATTTTAAAGGAAGTTCAAGGCATATTTCCCATTAATTCCAATATTTCATTATAACTATGCGTTGTTGATCACTTCGAGGGTATTAAATGTACTAATTATAGTGCCAGAAATGTGTTACAGTCTCAGACAACTACAAAAAAAACTATATCAGGAAAATATTATTGTCCTCGGTTTGTGTCCTTCAAGTTAATATGATATATCATATCATTGCAGATTAGGGTAAATGTCATCAAGCAGTAACCATTATTAAATTCATAATAATAGGGTGAGCAGTGGCGACCAACTCATCTGCGCCATGGGAGCCATAATGCATAACATCATTTTAATATGGGGGTGTCCGTGACACGGTTTAAATGCTGGCAGAGGACGCTGCAGCTGCAGTATATAGTGACTCGTTGCATTCTCCCTCAGGCAAAAGTCCTCACGTCATGCATTTAAGCTAAAATGCTAATGTTAACTTACCTTGCACTGGCTGTTGAGACGTGGGTGATGGTCACGCAGATGTGCCATTAGATTAGAAGTGTTGCTGCCTTTTGCAGACACTTTTTTCATGCACGTTCTGCAAACGGGATAGCCGTCTTCTATTAACTGTCCCTCGGCATTCTTCAGAAATCCAAAATACGCCCATACTTCTGATTTAGTTTTCTTTGAGGGCTGATGGATGTCCTGGGCGCTGCGGTCTCCTCCTTCGGCCATTATTTCAGCTTCCGTGCAAACTAAAAAGTGCGTGTGCGGCGCGCGGGATCTTCAACAGAAGCGACGGTGGCTGGTAAGGGTCATCGCGCCTAAACCGCGGCCACGGTAAACCTACCGAGATAATTTAGTTTTTTAAAAACTGGACGGTTATTTTTATTGTCAACTTTTTTACCGGGGTTTACCGCTATACCGGTTACCGTGACAACCCTACTTTTGGTAGCCATCCACAAGCTTCTGGTTGAATCTTTGACCACTCCTCTTGACAGAATTGGTGAAGTTCGGTTAAATTTGATGGCTTTCTGACATGGACTTGTTTCTTCAGCACTGTCCACATGTCTTCAATGGGGTTTAAGTCAGGACTTTGGGAAGGCCATTCTAAAACCCTTATTCTAGCCTGATTTAGCCATTCCTTTACCACTTTTGATGTGTGTTTGGGGTCATTGTCCTGTTGGAACACCCAACTGCGCCCAAGACCCAACCTTCGTGCTGATGATTTTAGGTTATGTTGAAGAATGTGAAGGTAATCCTCCTTCTTCATTATCCCATTTACTCTCTGTAAAGCACCAGTTCCATTGGCAGCAAAGCAGCCCCACAGCATAATATTCCCACCACCATGCTTGACTGTAGGCATGGTGTTCTTGGGGTTAAAGGCCTCACCTTTTCTCCTCCAAACATATTGCTGGGCATTGTGGCCAAAAAGCTAGATTTTCGTTTCGTCTGACCACAGAACTTTCCTCCAGAAGGTCTTATCTTTGTCCATGTGATCAGCAGCAAACTTTAGTCGAGCCTTAAGGTGCCGCTTTTGGAGCAAGGGCTTCCTTCTTGCACGGCAGCCTCTCAGTCCATGGAGATGCAAAACACGTTTGACTGTGGACAATGACACCTGTGTTCCAGCAGCTTCTAATTCTTGGCAGATCTGCTTTTTGGTGATTCTTGGTTCACTCTTTACCCTCCTGACCAATTTTCTCTCAGCAGCAGGTGATAGCTTGCATTTTCTTCCTGATCTAGGCAGTGATGAAACAGTGCCATGCACCTTATACTTACAAACAATTGTTTGCACAGTTGCTCTTGGGACCTGCAGCTGCTTTGAAATGGCCCCAAGTGACTTTCCTGACTTGTTCAAGTCAATAATTCGCTTTTTCAGATCCATGCTGAGCTCCTTTGACTTTCCCATTGTAGCGTTTGTGGGCGTTTGTATCCAATGAGCCCTATTTACCTGACCTAAGAGAAGTCACCAGCTGTAGTCACTCATAATCACTCACAAGAAGTTAAGAGGCCATGCTATGAAGCTCAGTTCACTGACAAGTTTCTAAGTCACCAAAATTGCTAGTTCATGTTGCTGTATGTATATTTGTGACCCAGCAAATGTGATCACTTTTCTCTGTTAACCCATAATAAAGACATTAAAGAACCAAACTTCATGAATGTTTTTTGTGACAAAGAAGTATCTGTTCCAATCACTCTATCAGAGAAAAATCAGAGTTTTAGAAATAACGGGACACTCAGTAGAGCCATTATATTATATTTTTTACAAGTGTATGTAAACTTCTGACCACAACTGTAAGTATATACAACTCAGAAAAACTAGTTCAGTAAACAAATTTCCAAGTAGTTAGTACTAGTTTGACTTAGAGTAACTTGTAATTAAGTTAATTTTACATGTAAGCATTAGTAGTTCTAACACATAATTACCTAGTCCCATGTACTTATTATTTTAAGTGCAATCGGTTTGCATGCATTTTACAAGTAAGCTGAGCTAATCAGATTTAACAATGCAGTAATGGATATATTTGAAAATATAGCGAAGTACAATTCTTTTAAAAAAACATACTCAATCAAAAGTAAAAATACTGACTTTAAAAACGCAAATACACAAAAAAGCTACTCAACCATACAACAATGTGTGTGTGTGTGTGTGTGTGTGTGTGTGTACAGTACATGTGTTTGGTGTGCTACCACAGCTTTCCTGATTTGTTTTTGGCTAAAGAGCAAAAATAAACTGTGGGTCTCCCAACTCTTTGTTTGAACATGTTCAATAATAGTGAATTAGGTTCTGACCAAAAATAATTACTGTTAGGATTTTTCCCTATAATAGAGCAGCCCTACTGGGCAGAACACTGACCATCTTGTGTTGAGCCATTTCACCTTCAGATGCAAAGGAGAGGAGACATTTTAGCAGTCAGACATGAAAAGCAGGGCCTTGAACCATCAGAGCCTATTCTGACAAGACATGACAAGATTCATTTTAACAGATCTTGTGAACTTGGGCAGAAAATGAAATCTTAATCTCCTCTCTGATCTTCTGGGGTCTGCCAGCAACTCTGGTTTGGTTCCTTTTCTTTTTATTCTGTTTCTCTGTTTGGAGGCTCAGAACAGTCTAGTCAGTTGTTTCCATTGTAAACCATCAGAGAAATAACTCAATGACATAATGTGAAAACATTATTTCTCCTTTGCTTGGCCCGCTATGTTGTGATTTTACTATTTTATCAGTGCAGCCGGACTATTATAAGTAAATCTGGCTATCACAGTTTGTACCAACACTGATGAATTTGGATTAAAGAACCCACTTGTAGAAAAACACACAGCTGTTCTTGTTCTCTGTGAAATTGCAAATAAGCCCCATCTGGTGTAGGATTTATTGATTTCTGATGTGTGACAGCGGCACGCCGGCTCTTTCAGACCAGGCACGATTAATCAGTGATGATAGTAATTTTGATTTCACTGCTTGTTGGCACCCAATCAGAAAGAAATAACCAAAAGCACAGGATTTGTAGTGAAAATAGTTCTCCGTTTATTCCATTGTCTAGTAGCATCTGTATTTAGTTGTTTTACTAAACAGAAATTGTATCACAGAAACACAGGAGAACATACAGTAGGTTGGTCATTTAAGGTACAGACAGGAAAGTGATAAAAGTGAAATAAGATAGAAATGACAAAAATCATAAAACCACAAAGACAAAAAGTGGATAATGCTGATTAGTGTGTTATAATGCAGTATTGTGGAGGGAAACCTCCAGGTGTAAAAATGCTGTTAATTTAGTAGTGAACCAATCTTTTGGTCAAGTATGTAGTTACATTTGTTAATTTCTATCCCAAACATTAGAAAACTAAAACACACAAAATAAAATACTCAAAATGTGCTTTCCCAACCTTTTTCTTTCACCAAATTGGCAAAATATGATTTTTTTAATATCATTTCAGGTTCCTCTGTCATCAAAATTGTGCTCTAAAGGTTTTTAAGTGATTGCTAGAGGATATCGGAGAATGATGTGACAACAGAAAAGTTGCCAGCTAAGGTTGAATGATTAGTGTTTGTTGTTAGCCTCAAGGGCAACCTGCTGGCTTCATTATCACTTGTAAGTCCCTTTGGACAAAAGCGTCTGATAAATACATAAACATAAACATCAGGTCTCTGCTTTTTGCAGATGATGTGGTTTTGTTGGCTGCATGGTGGCACAGTTGTTAGCACTGTTGCCTCACTGCACGAAGGTTGAAGGTTCGAAACTCGGCTACGGCCTTTCTGCATGGAGTTGCGTGTTCTCCCCATGCATGCGTGGGTTTCCTCCGGGTACTCCGGTTTCCCCCACAGATCACAACATGCCCTATAGGTTATAAATTGTAAGCCGCTTTGGATAAAAGCATCTACCAAATAAATAAACATAAACATATTAGAGTAAGATCTTCAGTTTTCACTGGAGAGGTTTGCAGCTGAGTGTGAAACAGCTGGGTTGAGGATCAGCGCCTCTAAATCTGAGACCATGCTCTTGAGTCAGAAAGGGGCAGAATGCCTTCTCCAGATCAGGGATGAGGTCCTGCCCCAAGTGGAGGAGTATCACGGGGTCTTGTTCGCGAGTGAGGGAATGATGGAACACGAGATCGACAGGCGGATTGTTGCTGCATCTGCAGTGATGCGGGCGTTGTACCGGTCTGTCACAGTAAAGAGAGAGTTGAGTTGGAAGGTGAAGCTTTCAATTTATTGGTCGATCCACATTCCTACCCTCAGTACCCTCCCTAGGTCATGTAGCCTAGAATGCAGAAGCAAATCATATATAGGATGGCTTACCAGGCTAATGGTCAAGAGCCTTTGGTAGTGATTGAAAGAATGAGCTTGTGGATACAAACAGCTGAAATAAGCAGTTGGTGGGGCTGGGGAAAGGGAATTCTGGGCCTCTCTGCTTAGGCTACTGCCCCCGCGACCCAACCCCAGATTGGCGGGTGGAAATGGATGGATGGATGGAAATGTATATTAAAATTATTTTTCTGCCCATGGAAAACTCTTGTGTGGATTAATGCTAAATGGCCTTTATTTGTATAGCGCCTTCTTAGGGCTCTACCACCCCCCCAAGGCGCTTCACAACACAATCAGTCATTCACCCATTCACACACATATTCACACGCTGGTGATGATGAGCTACGATGTAGCCACAGCTACCCTGGGGTGCACGGACAGAGTGATGCCAGTGTTTGGCCTGCCAAACACTGGTATCATCAGTCCCTCCGAGCACCACCAGCAGGCAAGTGTCTTGCCCAAGACACAACAGCAGAATTCTCTGGTGGGAGTCGGGAACAAGCTTGCAACCTTTCGATTACTGGACAAGCCACTCTTCCTCCTGAGCTCCTGCTGTACCATTAATAAATAACAGAAGTTGGAAAGCCAAGTTTGCCACACCATCAGTTACTCAGCCTAATGAGCAGTGTTTGAAAGGTTTTGTTATAGCCAAAACGCTTCAAATCATAAAAGCCACAACTTTTTCCTTTAATGTTCATTCTGTAACCAAATTTTTAACATCACCACTTTGATTAGTTTTTAATATCATACATATTGTTCCTATGGCTGATTATATGAGTGCCAATGTCATTTGTTTATTAGTTTAGAAATGTTTTAAAATAAATGTTTGTCCATCATCAACTTATATTTATTGTAGTTTTGTGAAGTGAAGCCAAAATCTCTTGTTTATGTCCTACCATTATGTGCACCTGATAGGAGAGGGTGTAAGTCTCTTACATAAAATATTTGCATTCAGGACCTATTTTGGTATACAAAGTTAATGAATAAGGACTTGGACAATGGTTTGGACTCTCCTTCCTAAATGTGAAATACTGGTTCTTCTCCTAAATGCTATGGACCAGGTTAAATGCACAATACAGAACAATTAAACAGACACATCACGTAATTGTTGGTATACTGTAGGCCACCACTGGCTCTGTTCCTCATGGTCTAAGCTGGTGTCTCAGTTGCAGTTGTAGGCATATAAAAAGCACAGCACATTTTTGAAGATAGTCTTTTTATATTGTCTCACCAGCTTTGTATTTACATGAAGACAGCTGCCTTTAAGGCTTGTTACTAAGCCTTTGCAGAGGAGGATATCGTACTCAACTTAAGGCTTTTATTTATTCACAGAGCCTTCTAGCTTCCTGTGTTCTTAAGTAGTCTTCATTCTCATCCATTGGACCACCAGTTTTTATCCCATCAGCCTCTGGCGAAGCAGTCACACATGCCCTGACACAAGCACTGGCAAAACCCATACACTAAACAAACTGTCAGGCTTGACGGCACTAAGCTAACACACACAATTCCTAGAGTCACTCTCTGGATCACTAGCAAGTAGATTCCTAGAGGCAGCGAACCAAAATATAAGAAACCCAGCAACCAGACCAAGATGCGTGGGACGTGGTTACAGAACTTGGACAGGGTATCATGATTAGCTGGTCCATTGGAGCCTATTGATACAGAGTCCAGGCTGTGCTCAGCATAGATTTCAGAGCTGCCATTCTGGCTTTGAGAGGGCTGCAAGTCCCTCTGAACCTCCATTATAGTGATAACCAAGCAGTTGGAGGAGTCATGAGATGGGCTGGTGGAGGAGAGACTCTTTGGGGTTAGGACCACCTCCCTGTTCTGGTCAAAGCTACAAGATTTGTCCTGCATAGTCAAACAGGACATGATGTTAACATCATCAGGCAAAGCAGAGACTTGGTACTCTGTAATTTCAGTCTGGTGTCGGCAAAAGGGACACAGGATGCAGCTTGCTCCATCAACAATGTCCAGGATCTTAACGAGGCAGCGGGCACAGACTCTGTGTAAGCAGTCCAGGATCTTAGGCTTCCGGTTGTGTGCATTGTAGCGCTGGTAACAGATTTTACACTCCAATTCCTCTGGGTGAGGACAATCCTTCTCTTCTGACTTAGTTTGAGGACAGCTCATCTTCAAGTCATGTTCTGGGGACACACATAGAGACAGATTGAGAAGGAAAGTTAAAGGGATCATTAGAGATGAGAATCACCTGTGATTTGAATTTTCGGAGATGCCAGGCAAATGTAAGAGAACAGATTGAAATAAGAGGATGTATCTGTTTGCAGCAGGAAAAGGTCAGAGCTGTCCCTTCATCTCTGACTGCTCTGACTCTGTGTACCTGGTGGTGATGAATCATTTATGGGCTGGGAATTAGATCAGGGTGTCATCCCAGCGCCCTCTGTGGCACAGCAAAAGCTACTAGTGTTATTGATCTGTAGGAAGAGGTTGTAGGGAGAGCAGCTCAGAACTGAGCCGGAGCAGTTATTAGATGACTTACGAACCCTAGAACTGGTGATTAAAATTGTGTGTGTGTGTGTGTGTTTGTGTTTGTGTGTTGTATTTCTATGGATCATATAAAGCCTTGTTCAGTTTTTTTTTACCTTGTTCCAATTGTTTATTTGATATTTATTTATTTATTTTATTTACACAATAGAAAAAAAGTGATACAATAAACAGTATTAAACGATTAAAATTACAGTGCTGGAGGAGGCAAAAGCCAGTGAGGCTTATCTGAAGGCTCTACCAAAAACATTGACATTAAAATCATAAATTCATTGATTACAGAAAATTAAGACAATTGTAGCATCCAGAAATGGTCAGTTTTCATCTATATTTTGGCCTTTTCAGAGACGGGTCATCTTCAGACATTAATCTGCCTATGTGCGTCTTCTAATTTTCCGAGCTGCAAGAAAGATTCTACAGTGCGTGTTGACACTTAGATTGCCATCATCATGCTCCTTCCTCAAGGACTCTCTGCCGAGTTGTGGTCTTATCTATTCCTTGCTTCACAGAACAAAAGATGAACTTTTATAATGAAATCATATAACGAAATGAACAATATGAGTTAATTAATCATATAATGAATGGACAAGGTGTTAAATGAAATGTTTGGATTAATCTGTGCTTAAATTAATATGGATGAAATGAATGTGTTCTCGCAATGACCCATATATTTAATCATTGTACGTGACTGGACAAGCACACACTCACCCAGATCTCCATGATGCAAAGTTAAAGTAATTGCATGCACATAGAGATTTCTTTATCCACAAAATCAGAGCATCTTTTATCTGAGGAAGGTGTGGTTTCTGGGGTTTGTTGGTAAAACCTTCTTAACATGTCAAATTCTGATTTGTCAGTAAATCATAACATAGGATTTAATAAAACTAGAATTCCTGCCCCGAGGTGATTCAGTTTGAGCAGAGATTCGGACCGGCTAACCCGTAGTAAAACTCGTTGAACCACTGCATCTTTTGACAAGCCGTCAAAACCTGTTGCACGCTAAAGCTGACACAGCAAACGGCTCCTTCAGAACAAAGCTGACACCGCTTCAACTCCTTAAGAGTCCTTCCTTAGACATAAACAACTACCTGCTGTGACCTGGAGACAACTCGAGACCGGTCTAGTGGTGCTGCGGTTTCTCCTACGGACTTCGGTGCCTTGGGGTCCACAGGCTTCCTGACATTCCGGATCTACAACGGGGGTCTTCCAATAAAGGGTACGTACAGTGGGACAAAAAAGTATTTAGTCAGCCACCGATTGTGCAAGTTCTCCCACTTAAAATGATGAGAGGTCAGTAATTTTCATCAAAGGTACACTTCAACTGTGAGAGACAGAATGTGAAAAAAAAATCCATGAATTCACATGGCAGGATTTTTAAAGAATTTATTTGTAAATCAGGGTGGAAAATAAGTATTTGGTCAATAACAAAAATTCAGCTCAATACTTTGTAACATAACCTTTGTTGGCAATAACAGAGGTCAAACGATTACTATAGGTCTTTACCAGGTTTGCACACACAGTAGCTGGTATTTTGGCCCATTCCTCCATGCAGATCTTCTCGAGAGCAGTGATGTTTTGGGGCTGTCGCCGAGCAACACGGACTTTCAACTCCCTCCACAGATTTTCTATGGGGTTGAGGTCTGGAGACTGGCTAGGCCACTCCAGGACTTTCAAATGCTTCTTACGGAGCCACTCCTTTGTTGCCCGGGCGGTGTGTTTGGGATCATTGTCGCGTTGGAAGACCCAGCCACGTTTCATCTTCAAAGCTCTCACTGATGGAAGGAGGCTTTAGCTCAGAATCTCACGATACACAGCCCCATTCATTCTGTCCTTAACACGGATCAGTCGTTCTGTCCCCTTAGCAGAAAAACAGCCCCAAAGCATGATGTTCCCACCCCCATGCTTCACAGTAGGTATGGTGTTCTTGGAATGCAACTCAGTATTCTTCTTCCTCCAAACACGACGAGTTGAGTTTATACCAAAAAGTTCTACTTTGGTTTCATCTGACCACAAGACATTCTCCCAATCCTCTGCTTTATCAGCCATGTGCTCTCTGGCAAACTTCAGACGGGCCTGGACATGCACTGGCTTCAGCAGCGGAACACGTCTGGCACTGCAGGATTTGATTCCCTGCCGTTGTAGTGTGTTACTGATGGTGACCTTTGTTACTGTGGTCCCACCTCTCTGCAGGTCTTTCACCAGGTCCCCCCGTGTGGTTCTGGGATTCTTGCTCACCGTTCTCATGATCATTTTGACCCCACGGGATGAGATCTTGCGTGGAGCCCCAGATCGAGGGAGATTATCAGTGGTCTTGTATGTCTTCCATTTCCTGATAATTGCTCCCACAGTTGATTTTTTCACACCAAGCTGCTTGCCTATTGTAGATTCACTCTTCCCAGTCTGGTGCAGGTCTACAATTCTTTTCCTGGTGTCCTTCGAAAGCTCTTTGGTCTTGGCTATAGTGGAGTTTGGAGTCTGACTGTTTGAGGCTGTGGACAGGTGTCTTTTATACAGATAATGAGTTCAAACAGGTGCCATTAATACAGGTAACGAGTGGAGGACAGAAAAGCTTCTTAAAGAAGACGTTACAGGTCTGTGAGAGCCAGAGATTTTCCTTGTTTGAAGTGACCAAATACTTATTTTCCACCCTGAGTCACAAATAAATTCTTTAAAAATCCTGCCATGTGAATTCATGGATTTTTTTTTTCACATTCTGTCTCTCACAGTTGAAGTGTACCTATGATGTAAATTACTGACCTCTGTCATCATTTTAAGTGGGAGAACTTGCACAATCGGTGGCTGACTAAATACTTTTTTGCCCCACTGTAGGCGCGACAGATTGCATCTGATGCTGTTTTATAAACCATCACTTCTAGTTTATAGCAGACCAAATTCAATCACACTCAGAACTCCGTTTCTTCCAGATATGAGGGTTCTTATAAACGTCACATTCTATCAGCACACAACACACTACAACACACACTCCAACACACATCGTTCTTTCATGGTTGTCCTGTTTTATAATTTGTTTAGAAAATTAATTTCTTACTTTTTATAAACTTGACTTTGTCTAAATTAATACGAAGTGTACTTACGGTCCCTGAATAAACAAAGAATCTTAATTCTTCTGGTTAAATATTCAAGGATCAATCAGGTTGATATTCTATAGTTATATGGAATCATCAAATCTTATTGATTATAATTAAAACCCCAAAATACATACGTAGGCTAACCCTACACAATAATAAAAGAGAGTCTAGAAATTTGGTAAATAATGAACAATAATGCCCTCCTTTATTCAAAGTAAATGTAATTTTTTTTTTGTTTTAAAGTATCAACTGTAGAACACTGGCTTATCAAATAGCAAAAACGATTCCATGCTATTGCACTCCTGAAACGGACAGGGATTCGACCTAGACGAGAGATATTTTGGGGGAAGAAGATCCATTGACGGTCTCGTACTATGTGAGTGAATAAATTAATTTATATAAAAAAAAAACAAATACATACTAAACTGTTGGTTATTTGTCCATCAGTTAAGATTTTATAAATGAAGACACATATTTGAGAACCTGGACGCCTCCTTGGTGAGGTTTTCTGGGCACGTCAAACTGGGAGGAGACCCAAGGAAAGACCAAAGACAAACTGGAGGCACTATGTCTCTCAGCTGGCCAGGGAACACCTTAGGATTCCCCTGGAGGAGCTGGCCCAAGTAGCTTGGGAGAGGGATGTCTGGGCCTTTCGGCTTAGGCTGCTGCTCCCGCAACCCGACTCCGGATGAGCAGCTGAAAATGAATGGATGAATGGACATATTTCAAATATGTTCCCTTGATAAATAGTCCAGATTTTTAGTCTCTGAAAGACAAGGGCTGAAGATGCTTTCGCTTCTGATCTAGTTGCTATTCTGATGAAGCGTTTCTGGAGAAGGAAAATCTTATTGAGATTAGTGGAAAAAGTACTACCCCAAATCATACTGCAGTAAGAGAGATATGGATACACAAGGCTATATATAACATAAGAAGACAACTTCGTGGAAACAAAATGGCTAACGTTCCTTATTATGCCGATAGACTTACAGATCTTATTACTTATATAGTCGACATTTCTGAGTCAGCCTCTCATCATTTTGAATCCCAAGTAATTTTGTTCATGATACTTGGAGTAACTCAGTAGATTAGATTTTTATTTGATTTATATTTTTATTGTAAGACATTTTCCCACTAAATATAATGAAATAGAATATTTTTTACATTTAAGGACCCACTCCAATGAAAAATGTGTTTTTTCTTTTTTTGACATGTTCTTGAGGCATGAAGATATAGTGGAAAATTAACCTTTGTTTAACTAGAGGATTAGCATTACAATCTGCAAATTCATCAGCTTATTTTTGGCCAAGACCTACAAAAAAGTCATTGAAATGTTCAGCTATAGGAAATGGATTAGTCAAAGAGACATCATTGTCTACTAATACTGAAGGTAGATAGAGGGAGTTTTATCTTTCTGAAGCACCTGATTTATTTATTTTCATGAAGATTTTATAGTACCAGAGTATTTAATGAATTCCTTACTGAAATATATTTTTGCAGATTTAACATAATTTGTATATTTATTTCTCAATGATTTAGAAAAAGCATGATTAATT